CAACAACAACAACAACAACAACAATTTATTGGTATTCCCATATAAATGGTGTTACCTAAATACAGCCTTACCCTATGATGAACTTGATTTTGCAACCCTGTTCTAAACTAGGCACCAATAACCCCTGCCCTATCTCAGACTAGCTAGTTTCCATGCATGTCAGAAAATATCCATACCTCCCCGACAGAAGGGATTTTTTTATAAACCCGCCAGCCATCTGGAAATTCCAATAATTATTAGGTTTCATACATTTCTTTACATTTTTTGGTCTCACAGAATCACACACTCCCAGGAAATACCAATTCCTTCTGTAGGGGAAGTATGGCTATTTTCTGGCCAATCTCAAACTGTAGTTAAACCAAAGCCAAAACCGAAGTAATTTCCTGATTACTTTTGACACTCAATTGAAAACTGTTCTAACGTCAGTGAATTAATTCAATATCTGTATGAGATACAAGCTCTCAAAAGTTTCGTCCCCAAAACGACATAATTCAATTTTATTTTAAACGTAATTCAAATATTATTTCAAATATTAAAACATAATTCAAATTTTATTTTATTTCATTACTAATAATAACTTTATTTTAATATCAATAAAATGCTAGCTAGCAGTTTTAACACCACTAATTGAAGACTTTGGCAAGAATTCTAAAATTTTAAATTGTAAAGTATTAATCACAGTTAACTTACAATAATTGTAAGATTAAAATTTAAAACAAACAAGATCATTGAAAAGGATCACTAGATTGTGGGATCAATTTGCTCATGGATCTTTTTTCCAAAGTTTGAAAATTCAAAGAAGTTGTGAATGAAAGCACTCTTTTTGATAAATTGAAATAAAATGAAACTAAAAGATTGTTTGGAGAAAATTTTGATGAACTATGATTATCACTAATTAACTTGAATTATTTCCCTTGCTAGACAGCACACAGTCAATATTTGTGAATTTATTTCTAATACGTTTTCTTTGTAAGGTTTTCGGTTCTAATGGTTACAGAGTAAAATGAAACGCCTGTTAGACAAACAGTCGCTTCCGGGCTTTAAAATTAATTTGTAACATGATTGTATTTATTCCTTACCCAATTTGTAATGAATAGAGAGATTTGTTGTATATTGCCATAGCAACAAAAGGTCAACTCCTGTTCCACAAAATAACAAATGTGTTAAATAACGTTATCAGCATGCAAGTCAAATAAAATATTACACTTGTCCGTAGAATTTTGTAGCAGCTTTTTTGTCGAGTACTTGGAAAGAGAGTTTCAGACTCGACCAAATATGAAACAAGGGTTTGGACAAAAGTAAATAGTATATCGACAAATAGCTCCACGTACGAGAGCGTTAAAGCTATGCAGATTTACGCGGTGAAAAAATAAACAGAAGGATACATAAATTAGTGATTGTTGAAAAAGGCTCCTCCCCTTCTGCTCCGAATAACAAACTAGTTTTGGCCTCCAGGGACTTCGGCATAATCGAGATCCCATCCCGTCGATCGATAGTACCTCTCGCAAGTTCACTTCGCTCCTTGATCCAGACAGCTGTGCCATATTTGAAAACAGCGGGCACTTAACGAAGAGGGAAATATCACCATAGTTGTGCTGATAACCGCAGAACAGGTAAAAAAGATCAAATCAAACGTCGAGCGAATATTTATAAAGTGTATAAATAGCTTGCTGTGTCACTGACAAAACAGAAGATCCCTCGGGCCATAAAGCATGGTGCAAACGTTTTGGGCAAAAAGGTTGCCCTTTCGGGTGTTTGAGTTCTTCAATAGTTCGCTACTTTACAATTTTGTCTCCACATTCCATCTGCAGCCGGTACAATTGAAGAAATCTGCTCTGGATTCCTGCAGCGTTTAATCTTGATTTGTAAGTGCCATGCCGTTAGCGAAGAAAGCAGCAAAGAATGACATAAGTAAGTTCTTTGTGTTTTATCGTGTTGATATTGTAGTCTACACTGTGGAAAGAGCTGTCAATTCTGTAACCACGGCAGGCGTTTATGTAACAACTCGATAAATAACTGAGTTATTCGATGGAATTCGATTTATCAACCAAAGTCACTTGTAAACATAGAGCGGCATTCCTGAAGTGCCCTCGACCATTTGACGTCAATGCAGTTTTGCCACGCAAATATTCTTTTTATTTACAGGCGCTTTGTCTGTGTCGAACTATGTTTCTATTCTCTGCGTTAGATCGGTATTCGATTTAAGAAGTTTAGCTGAAAAGAAGTCTTTACTCCACTTCAGAAAAGTCTGTATCGAAACAATAAATATACTTAAGGTTCTTTTGTGTTTATTTGTGACCTTTCGCTGTAGGAATTCTGTAATGGCTTCTTAATTACAAAGCTGAAAGGTCATTTTAAAGTGACCGAACGTAACTCACGAGTCATTTACCAGTAACTAAAAGTTAATTTTGAATTCAGAAAGCCAATTTAGCGAAATCTAATCTGTCAATACCATTCTAGCGTTTACATAAGGGGGTCTTCGAAGTTTAGGTATTGTTCTAAAACGTTTTTAATATCTCTGACGGCTGTTGATTGATTTGGAGAAGATTTTCTTCTTCATTGTAACACGATCCAGTCGGTAAAATTTACTCAGTTATTTTACCAATGTCGATCGAATAGATAACTCTGCATGAATTGTTACTCTTTCGTGCGTGTACCTTGACCTCTGCGTACATTGTTGCTAAGCAAGCAGTAATATTGGCGTTTCTTTGACCAGGGGTGGAGTCGAGGGTGGGGGTGGGGAGGTGGTTGCACCCTGTTCTTTTTGAAATATCTGGTTCAACTTCACATAGTTTAATTAAACCCCTGGGAGATACAGGGGGAAGGATTTTACTGTGGATCTCCACAAAGAAACAAAGGTTTCAATTGCAAGCACCTAATGCTTCTAAATATTAAGATTGTTGACTGCAAAGAAAAATTTTTCCTTGCTCATAATCATAATGCAAAATATCAATCAATCCATGACTCTACATACTACGCAAATCTCTGTAGGATTGCATAATCAGTATCGATGGAACTTTTGGGTTAGTCTGTTCAAGGGTTTCAGTCAGTTGAGGAACAGCACGAAACACTGAGAAAATAAAGGGGGAGGAGTATCAGGCAACTGTGAAGCTTGCTTTGGTATACCGGAATGTGGTTCAATACCGTATGATTGGTTCATTTTGATAGTAATATTATTGATTGCTATTGAATTACAGTATGTAGTGATGAGAAATGCGATATGGTTTTGGTCAGAGACCTTTCAAAAAGTCTCTCACTTTTGAGTGGGGCAATCCTCACTTATTTTCTTTCTCGCTGTATATTGGTGGTAGAGTCAGGTTGCCTTAGACATGTTATTTTCCAGCTTACCCTATCAGTACCTGCTAGTTCTGTGTCAACTCAGCTTCCAAATTTTTATTCAATAAACAGACTAATACTACATTCCAGGGGCGTAGCCAGGATTTTTCAACGGGGGAGGTCACACGGTGTCAAAGAGGGTACTCACCAGATTTTCATTTCGTTCTTTCCACCTGCTGTAGGCTGTTTACTTAAAAAGGTTTAGAAAAGGGGGGGGCATGGGCACCCCAGGATCCCCCTAGCTACGCCCCTGTATTCATAGCATTAGATAATGTAAATTGAGTGGAATTAGTACACATCTACATAAATGCTTTATAAAACTAACTTCTTGTAGAAGACGGACAGAAATAAAATCAAGATGATAGGTTCCATAACTGAATGCAACAGTATGCTCAAAGTTTAATAATGATCTTGTTGATCACAAAAATAGACTGGTTCCAATGTGGAAATTATAGACAAATATCCTTGTTACTGATTTTTCCAGTATATTCCAGAGAATGTTATGTACCTTATCGCAAAAATATACATATGAAAAACTCCAGTCAAAACTAAATGGGTCGTATTTGAAGTATTGTTTAGCAAATATATTTTGCAAAGTNGCATGTAAAATAAGTCACTTGTTGAGGGTAATTGTTGTTGTACAGGACAGAATATAAGAAATATTTCATACATTTTCCTTCCATATTTTCATCTTCTGTGGGTCTATTACCAACTAACATGACCAGCTCCTAGTTGGCTTGATTCCTCAGTTAGGGGTAGACAACTTTACTGGTGTTGCAGAGGTGATGTGTTTAGGTCGTGTTTGATCCTTAACTTGTTATAAGCTTCCATCACCCTGGTTTTTATTTATTAATTTTTATGTAGGTGTAAGGCTAATTATTTTGTCTATAACACAAGCAGTTGCTTAGTATGCTTTTTGTAATTTCCATTGCAGTGAAACTCATTCAAGATTCTATGCATCACAGATTGTGTTGGCTTTTGAGTACTTACACTCCCTAGACCTTATATACAGGTAATCAGAGAAATACAGGCTCTTCTATAGGAAAAGTTGTTGGAAGCCCTTTAGGCATCCAACTTTAAAAGTCAGGATGCCCAGTTGACAATCTTGGTGATATCAGTTGATGAATTAATTTTAAAAATAATCCATGAATTAAATTGTTTAATTACTAAAATAATAGTTTACCCATACCTTTAATTTTTTTATTGATTTTGATATTATTTCAAGCTGGTACCAGTCTTGAATGCTTAAATATATCTGCTTTTATCTCAGGGATCTGAAACCAGAGAATCTTCTCATTGATGAGAAAGGATATTTAAAGGTAAGCAAAGATTATTTAATTAAAGTGGTAAGTTTTATGACAATTAACAACTTTGTAGTGTGAATTTAAAACAACTTGCCCAAACACTGTACTGTAAAGTGGTCCACTGAGACAACTAATTGACAAGATAAACCCATTCAAATTGTGTACTGGAAATGAAGAATTTTCAACTTTGAACAAGTCAAGGCATATTTTGAGATCTTCCTCCTCTGTTGTTGTAAAAAAAAACATACAAACAGAAACAACCGTAACAAATAAATTATGTATTCATATTTGAGCTTCACTCATTTATATTCAGTAGCTGAAGGCTAATACTTTGCAAAATACATGAACATCTGGTACATATCACGTTTCAGGTGACAGATTTTGGATTTGCTAAGCGAGTCAAAGGAAGAACATGGACTTTATGTGGAACACCAGAGTACCTTGCTCCTGAGATCATTCTTAGTAAGGTAAACAGCATCAAATCTGCATTACAGTGTATCTTTATGTTCAGCTAAAGATGTGTCTGGTCTACTAAATACAGCTTGTCTCTTTTTGGGATAGCCTTCTGAAAGAGGGGTGCCTCTCTTAAGTGAAATCAGGATAGTTGGATATGGTCCTAACCACACATGAACAAGTTGCATTTTTATCCTTCCACAAAGGAGCCTCTTGTAATCCAATCCATTCATATCTTGGTGTGAAGTCTGTCTACTTTAAGGGATTGACTGTATGAAAAAAAATGTGTATTGAATTATGTGACAGTGCCTTTAAAACAAGCCTAGGTATATGTAACTATATTTAAGTTAATGCAGCTAAATTACCCAATGAACAAAAGAGGCCTACCTGCATAAATGATTTAACTCTGGTAGATATGATTAGATAAAAAGAGTAAACTCCTCCGTTCCGTTAAAGTCAGACTTAGTCCTTTTACATTTAGGTTGTGACATTAGACTTCTTTGATGTTATGGCCAGTTTTCATTGACATTACAATGTTGTGCTTTCTTGCAGGGTTATAACAAAGCTGTCGATTGGTGGGCTTTAGGTGTTCTCATCTATGAAATGGCTGCTGGATATCCACCCTTCTTTGCTGATCAGCCAATACAGATATATGAAAAGATTGTATCCGGGAAGGTAAGAGAGCAGTGGCTTTTGAGAGTCGTAGCTGTTACAACCAACACTGACATTTTGAAGTCTACTGTACATGTATGACTTAACAATGTGATCTCTTGTCGAATTCCTTGTCTTTTCAGGTGCGCTTCCCTTCACATTTTACCGCTGATCTGAAAGATCTCTTGCGTAACCTTTTGCAAGTAGATCTCACAAAGAGATATGGAAATCTCAAGAATGGTGTGGGAGACATTCGAGGTCACAAATGGTTTAGCTCTACAGACTGGATAGCCATCTATCAACGAAAAGTATGTCATATTCTTTTTACAATGCAACTACTGATAGTCAATTTTGACAATTTTTCAGATATCTGTACATTGTATATTTGGCAATTAACAAAACTGACTTGGATCAGGTCAAAGATGGTGTTACGAAAAGTATCCATATCCTCTCATGAAATGTTTTTTGGCTTGAACTAAGTTCACAGTCAAACCTCCTGTTGCGACCATCCCTCGTAAGCAACCACCTCTCCTCAGCAACCAGTTTTCCGAAATACCTAAAGGTTTCACATCAAATCACTATATTTAGAACCTCTTGTAAGCAACCACCTCTCATAAACGACCACGACCACTTTCAGAGCTAAAAGTTTGAACTTTTTTTTGTCTTTAACCTCCTGTAAGTGACCACTTGACAGATAATGGAGCAAAAATTGGATAATAATGTGTTGTACCATTATTGCATCCCTGGATAGTACAAGGGACTCAGAATTTGTATCAGTTTTGTAGTGAGAAATCTTACTTTCAAAGGGTTTTGTTGTCATTTACTTTGAAGCATTAACTGGATATCAATGTTGTCTTGGTTTAAGGTTGAAGCGCCTTTTATTCCCAAATGTAAAGGCCCCGGAGATCCCAGCAACTTTGATGATTACGAGGAAGAACCCCTTCGCATATCCACTTCGGAGAAGTGTGCAAAGGAATTTGCAGATTTCTGAAAAGCGATTCATTGACTGTCTAATAACTTACTATTATGTACTTAAGTTATCCAAAAGTGTACAGAACTGTGACTTTAATATATCAAACATTCTTGGAGAGGAACAAGCAGGCCCTTGATGGATGGGATGACATTTTGGATGTTATCTCTTTGCTTGTTAGTTCCTTGTGTTGTTCTAGAACTTCATCATAAAGCCTTTTTATTTATATAAACAACTTCGATTATAGTAGAGTTAGCAGAAAATTTTTAAAAGCAGGCATGTAAATGTTTTATTTGTAATTTATACATATATGTAATTTGCAAATTCATATTTCTAGAACACACAAGAATGTGTCATATCTAATTACGTTTCATCCCAGTGTTCATCATTTAACATTCAATAAAGATTGTGCCTGCAAATTAAAGATCTCTGTAATTGCTTTATTGAACCTTTAGAAATACTTGGAAGCAGATTTTCACAGAGGCTAGACAAGAATAAATTTATTTATTTGTAAACACATTCTCGGCTTGAAAAATCAGTGCAGAGTATTTGTAAGTTTGTCTTCCAAAATGTTTTTCATCCAAAACGACCAATGTTCAGATTCAATACTTGTTGGTCACTCCATGTTTCAAATGCCTCTTGGTTATTTCTTAAAGTTCCAAAAAAATATTGTTCTAATGTTACATGTGCCTTGTAAGTTTATTTATAATCTAGAATATTAATCCAGGGCAATAAAATTTAAACAGTTAAATGAACTAGACATTTTTGCTGTGTTTCAGAGGGTGCTTTACGTAATCAACGTCTAGTGTGACCACCATGACCATTTTTATGCCTATTTTAATTTAAAAGGGGGCATTAGAAATTGTTTTTTTCTTTTTTATGGATTGAAAGTTATGAATGAAAATAGGGAATAGACAATACCTGCAGCCTTTTAGACTTCACCCTGAGCAATCAGGGTTGATAGCATTTAGCCTATGCACCCCC